CATCTGCAGCAGGACACAGGAGTCCTGGGGACACCCTGCCCCTCACAGCACCTTCCAGATCCCCAGCGATGACTCAGAGTGCTGGTGGGAGCTGGGGACAGCCACCCAACCTATCCCAGACCCTTCCTGGGAGCACACTGTGCCCAAGGTGCAGGAATGACCTTCCCAGCCCAGCTCACCTTGGCAGAGCCAAAGATGGAGGCTGTCTGTAGCTCCTTCTCATCATCCTCCTTGCGGGGGTGGATGACCAGCGTGATGTGGCAGGTGTTGTCTGTGGCAAACTTGCGGAAGGCACCAACAATGTAGTCCTGGGCGGCAAGCCTGACACAGCAGTGAGAAGGGGGCTGGGGTCAGGAGTTTCCAGCTCCACAGCAGGAAACACCCTGACGTCCAGGCTAACTCCCCACGGGGCAGCCAGGACGTGGGGGCACAACAGGGATTGCAGGTAACTGGAACACCCCTTCCCACCTCTTCCTCACCAGGGCAGTAATCGCCCTTCAACAAAACAGGGCTGCCAGAAGGGACTGAAGGGGACACCCCGTGTGGGTCTCCTGCCCTGGCTGTGACAGCTGGCAGGGCCAGCTCCAGGGATGAAGGTGGCAGAGGAATGAGGGGGTGGCTTGGAGAAGGGCTACCTGTCCAAAGAGAGGTGCTCGTGTCCCATCATGAATTGGAGGTTGTCCACGACCACGTGGGTGATGTCGTACATGTAGACAGCGTGCTGCATGGTGTCGATCACTGTCCTGGGCGGGGGGAGACAGGGATCAGCCCCGGGGGTCAGAGAGGGGATTGGGCTGCTGAGCCAGGCGCTAGACAGGGAGAGGCAGAGCTGGGAGGTACCAGGCTGGCTCCCGGGCACACCCCATCTCACTATCTCCTGACGGGCTGCACTCTGTCCTGTTGGCAAGGGCGGATGGACCGCAAGCACCCAGCTGCCCACACGGCCCCTGCCCACCAGCCCACAACCCTGCCAGCCCACGGGGACCCTCGATGTGCCCCAGCCACAGCGCCTGCTGAATGAATCCAAGGAGCTGGAGATGCCTGTCCTCCCTGCCCAGCCAATGGCAGTGCTGCCTGCTGCACAGGGTGTGGGGAACACATCCTGCCAGGGGCACAGGCTAGTTTTGGAGCAGCTACCCAGCACAAGGACAGGCCTCCTCCCTTCACCCCCCTTTGCCCAGAGGGAGGCTGTGACAGTCCTCATGACAGCCGGTTGAGCCACAGAGCCCCCACATGCCAAACCCAGGGACCTAAACAGCCCTGATCTGCATCCCACCAGCCCCAGAACTATGACATGCCGTAGGTGAGGAGCTTCAGCTCCCCAGAGCCCCGCAGCTCATGCTGTGAGGGGTGCTCCCCAGGGCCCTGCTGCGCATGCTGCGAGGGGTGAACGCCACTAAGGACGAGGGTGCAGGACCCATACTTGATGTTCTGCTGGCCATGGAAGGTCATGAAGTAGAGCGGGAGGTCCTCGAAGCGATCGGCCCACTCATCATACAGCTCCAGCTGGTCCTCCAGGCGCCGGCCGGCAAACTGTGTCAGCATGATCTTGGCCAGGCGGACATTGCTGATCTCAAAGCTGCCCCACAGCGTGCACACACCCTGCGTGCACAGGTCCAGTGCATACTCGCTGATAAAGGTCGTCTTCCCGCTGCCCGTTGGGCCTGCCACAAGGACAACGACAAGAGGAATTAGCCAGGGAAGATCTGACCCATCCTGAACATGCTGGGAGATTGTTTAGAGGTGGAAATGCTGGGCAGCAGGGCAAGAGCAGCCCATCCGCAGCACTCCAGCCATAAACAAGCAGGGTCCCGTGCCAGGCTGCGTGCCCAGGTGCCTGTGCATGTGTGTCACCTACAGCAGCCAGCGGGTCCCTGTGGGGTGCTGGGAAGAGCTGGGCAGCGGGGGGCACAGAGAAGGCTTAGATGGAAGGTGGCAGTTTGGAGCAGGGATGAGGGGCACTCCAGGACTGCCTGTGCCATCCCAGGTAGGTAGCCCATCACCACACCAGCCCCACCGCACTCAGGAAGGCAGCCCACCCTCTCACACGACCCCCAAGACAAGCTCAGCTGAAGCCATGGGCAGAAAAGGACCTAGAAGAGTCACGAGACATTACCCCCAGCAGGAGGGTGAAGCCACCAAAGAGCCCTTTGCTCCCCCTCATCCACCAGCTGTTTGCCTGTCACCTGTGAAGATGGTGAGTTCCCCTCTGCGGTGGCCTTTGAGGAGCTTGTTGAGCTCAGGGAAGCGTGCCCACTTGATGCCAGCCACCTGCTCGGTGTTGACCAGCTCCCCGAACACCTCCTCGCGCAGCTGCCGGAAGGAGACAATGGATTTGTGGCTGGCGGGCAGGGCGGCACGCAGGATCTTGGTCAGGTTCAGGCCTTGGTTGAGAGCTTCCAAGGGCCGGGGCTGCAGGTCGCCAGGGCGCACCAGGGAGCAGCGCTTGAGGCTCAGCTTGCGGGCAAAGAGCTTGGCGGCTTCCCAGGAGCGCAGGTCCTCGCCCAGCCACAGCGTGATGCGCTTGAACTGCTCCAGGTAAGGGAGGAGGGCGGGGGGGAGGCAAGTGGCCCCCCGCGGCAGGGCCAGGCTGGCCACCCCGGTAGCCTGGTGCAGGGCGAGGGCGTCTAGCTCCCAGCCAGTTAAGACCAGCTCCGTGTCCCGGCGGCCGATGAGGGGCAGCCCGAAGAGATTGCGGTAGGAATCGAAGCGGGGCAACGTCTCTTCCACATAAGTTACGGCGTCCCCCTTCTTCTCCACCCTTAGGAGCTTCAGACCCTTCAGCGTCGCGTCTCGGGGGCTGAACCAGGGGAAGACGAGGGCCTCAGCCGTCCTCAGGTATCGCACTCCGAAGCGCTTCAGGGTGGCGTCCGTCACCAGGGAGATGCCAAACGCGGCCTTGGTCCTGTTGGTCTCGTCCTCGTCCAGCAGCTCCC